CATGAGAAGCTACATTTGTGCTTCATATCGTCCATAAAGTAACTAAATTATTATCTAAGTGATCGGAACCTCAGGATTATTTGTTGGTGAATTAGAGGTTGATGATTTAGTTTTCCAGGCTTTTCGAAGTAGCTAATTCTGATGAGTCATAAAATTCGCCGAAATATTCAGGCAAATGGTTTTCAAATTCAGTGAGATCACAAAGTACGCACGTCGATCATGGGGACAAGCTTACAAAAAGCGAATAGTGAAAGGGTGACATATGCATCAATATAATTAAATTTTTGTATATACTTAAATATATAACTAAATAAAAAAACCTTTGTGTCTTTGAGTTTTATTCTTGTTCTTAAGTATCATCTGAAGCGAGTTTAAACGTTTTTGCAGATGATGTGTGTATAGCGTTTCGTACGATATATTTCTTCGCGGGGATAACAAATGTTGCTCCACGGACTCAGAGAATCAAGAAAGAAACAGATCCTAGAGGAAGAAGTATATTTGATACTAGCCTCGTGATATCGAAATAATATCAAGGCAAGAGGGCGTACAGAAAGCTAAAGTTCACGCAGGAGACTTGCGAAGAGGAGAATGGGAATAACACGCTTGGCGTGCGAGAGATAGTCTTTTGTTCAGATAAACAAGAGGTGTACAGTATAACAATTATTGTCAGAATTAAGTACAATAATAAATGTTTATACTTCAGCAGCAGTGTTTTCTTCGTAAAGGTAAATCACTACATTAGCCCCCTCCTAGAAAGGGTTTAAACTTTCGATACGTAGTGGTTTCGTGAGGAAGGGGGACCTGGTCAGTTAACGGACGACTGTACGGCGAAAGTGTTGACAGACAGGAAGCAACCGATGAGGCTTGATTTGTCAACGAGATGCTTTTACGTTGAGGCGTACCAATAGTAACGTGCCAAGCCTAGTGCTAGAGTTGGCATGCCACACCAGGACGGCTCTGAAGAACGCGTTTATAGGGATTCGTAACAAAAAAATGAACTGCAGACGAAAGACCGAATCAAATTGAGCGAAAGAGCCAGAAACCAGAAGCTGGAAACCATACGTATGCCAGGACATTCGGAACCAAAATATCGACTGAGTGCATTGACAAGAGCGTGGGTGGTCAGGCTAGCTTTCACTAAAATTGACTAAAGTCGACGGTACCAACAGGGTGAAGGTCGTAGGCATGGTCTGAGGATACAAAATAAAAGAAAAAGAGAAAGATGTAACATAATGTAGTACAAGGAATAGAATACTGTCACGTCTCGGTTGTCGCCCGTGTAGTTATTCGAGAAGACGTACAGGTAGGCGTAGGCGGCGACCGGAATGCGAGACGCTAGTTCCGTGCGTACCTCGTGAGCCAGCAATCTCATCCGAAGTCAAGGGCGCAGTGGTCTGCTGATTTGGACGTGAGACCGGAGTCTCATCCGTAGATACAGAACATGGCGCGTGCCGTTGACTGGGACGTGAGAATGAGGTTTCTGATTTATCTGGCGTGGGACCTGAAGTAGCCCCAAGGATCCCGCTAGTTGGTGTAATAGGTCTAGAATTGGGTCTCGGATTAGCAAGTGGGGCACTGTCATCGACATGTGCTGGCTTGAGACGATCAATGCTTACTACCTAGACGTGGCCATGTCGAGCAACCTTGAAGGTCTTTTCATGACGAGAAATCACGTTGAAAGGTCCCTCGTAAGGCTGTTTCAAAGGTTTGCGTACTGAATCAACTTGCATGAAAACATGCGAACAGGTAGATAACTCTCGAGGGAGAGCGACCTGTCGATGTTTAACTCGAGTTGACACCGGAGGCAGTGCTCGCATAAATTCAGACAATCGTTGGACGTAGTCTGATTTACTGAAGTTATCACTGCTCCGTGGTGTGAAAAATTCCCCAGGCAGACGCAATGTGATGACTTAAACTAATTCAGCGGCGGAACATTGAATATCTGCCTTTAAACTCGTTCTGATACCTAAGAGGACGAGCGATAAAGTTTCGAACCAATTGTTGTTTTCGTGTGCTCGAACAGCACTTTTAGGTTGGCGATGAAACCGTCCGATTAAACTATTCGAAACTGGGTGGTAGTGCTTATGCGCTCCGTACCAAGCAGCCGGTTTAGCGAGGAGAATAATTCGGACTCGAACTGTTGTCCTCGATCAGTTGTGACAGTCGACGGACAACCGTAATGCGCTATGCATCGTTCTATAAGGCGGTGATCAACTGTTTCCGCCGTAATAGAAGTGATGGGTATAGCTCCGGGTCATCTTTTTGGTATGTGATCATACCTATGCGATGGTGGCAATGGTCCTACAATGTCAATATGAACATGATCGAAGCGAGCATCAGGCGTAGCAAATGTGAGAATGGGGGAGGCTACTTGCCTGTGCATTTTTGGTCGTTGACATTGAAGGCATTACCTTACCCACATACGGAAGATCGAGCACTGGTAAAGTAACTGCCTTTATTTGAATACGTGAGAGAGCATCGGCAACATAGTTCGACTCGCTTTTAATATGACGAAGGTCTGTCATGAACTGAGATATATAGTGCAAATGTCTGGACTCTCGTGGTGAGTAGCGGTCAGACTTAGTATGAAAAGCACACGATAAAGGCCTACGGTCGGTGAAGAGGATAAAGTCGCAACCTTCTACTGAGTGCAGGAGATGTTTGATGGCACAGTAGGCTGCTAGCAGTTCACGACCAAAAGCGTTATATCTCTTCTTAGTGGGAGTAAGTGTCGTGAGGAAAATTCGAGAGTTCGCCAACTGAGAGATGTTCGGTCCTCTCTCACAATCTTCAATACGAATTAAAGAAGTGATCTACATACTACTTAGTTCTGAAATCTTATTCATCTTATTCATCCATTAGAATTTTATCTTTACTATTATCCACATTGCAGATAACTGGTCTCCGGTCTGGTAATGTGGTAGCTGATGGTATCCATAAATCCCACTACTCTGAAACAAACATTTTCATTCGAATCCCGAGACATACAAACTCACAACTAACTGCCAACTGACTAGAATTAGACAGTCGAGTGGCTATGCCACATTCATTGGACACTACCAAAGACCTGGAACCGTACCGAGAGAAAAAGAATCAAGCGTAAGGAAATCAGTAGGTTTATACTAGCTTTTGAAAAGATATTGGTTATGTTGAATATTGAACGGGTCGTTGTGATGAATTTAGAGTCGGAGGAAAATTAAAACTGTACGTAACATCCTTAGAAATCAATCATAAGCATACGTCCAGCTTAAAGAATTCATAGAACAAGCTATGTAGGGAATAATGCTAAGTTAGAAGTATAGCGAACCAGGTTGTACTCTAAGTACACATTCTACCAAGAAGTACTGAGAGCTAACTTATCAAGTTACCTATCGATAAACTCCATGAAGTTATTCTGCATTAGTTCTACCGGCGAGTAATTTTGAGACCTGAGTTTGCTTGATCTGGGTCCTCATATCTCGACCAAGGCCAGTTATGCAGTATCTTGTACGGTCGTTCTCAAGAGGAACAAAAAAGCAATATAAATCTTCATCTGATTTGTTATTTGGCATAAAATACACTCACGTCAAACTTTGGGCTCATTTATTAGATGTCTAGAGAGTATTAAGCCTTTTAAACGACGTTAAAACCGGAAATTATGGAGGCCTGTTCCCAAACTGATTCTTGCGGCCGTAGCACAACAGACAGAGCTGTTGAGAGATATTTACTGTGTTCGAAAACATTTAGGAGGGTTTAATTCAGCTTTTGATTCCAAAAGTAGTCGAAAATTTCAAAAAAATTCAAGCAGGTTAAGCGGTAAATCTATTTCTTACAAACTTTTCTAAAAAAATGTAGAAATTAGGTGATAATCATCATAAACTTCAACGCAGTTATTTTTCAAAGACTGGAGCCTATAATAAATTTCAGTCTATATTAATGAACTGATTTCTCTTTAAAGCAACTGATGGGCTGAAAAAACCTTACATTTAATTGTAGTTTCCATGTTTTATCTGTTCTATGCATTCTGGTCTTCGCTAGTCTAAAAGTTCCTTTTAACGGACATTTAAAATGTTTCAGCAAATGTAGGGAGGTTTATCAAAATACATTTTCATACATGTGAAGCAAAAATAATATAAACTGTTTAACTTTGCAACAGTTATGGACTCTTACTTTACACAGAACTCCATATTAGTTATAAGATTGCATAATCATGTCTCGATCAAAGACGAAAACAGTGAAACTGATAAACGACATTAAGAAACCGTATTATGTTGTGGTCATATTTGATAAAATATTGTAAAGTTAAAAATTGACGGTTAGTTATAAAGTACTTTACCAAATCTAATAACTAGGTTAATAACAACAGCAATATCATGACCTGCTTGATATAAAAATCCAGATACTGATTTGTAAGCCAAGATAATAGCTTGGGCAGCCATTAAAGTCAGATTCATCAGTCATTGCCTTCAAATTACGGTATCTTAGATCTAGTTATTTTGTGAGCCACACTGGTTTTAAGGGCAGTTTAGTCGTGTAGTAGGAATATTTCGGGTGAATAGTACACTTTTATTCAGTGTTTACTGTAAATAGACTTTATCACTGATGTTTATTGCAATAAACCCAAGGTTTTGATAACTAGCCCTTTGAGAGACCGTACTCTACCCGTCTGTTGTATCGTTCAAAGCATAGCGTTAACCCCATGTGAGCATAACTACAAAAAGGAGTCTAATGTAGCTTGCTTATTACAAACAAAATCACCTTTTTACATAAATGGTCGTTAGAAAATGCTTGATGTAATTCTTTCATTAATATTAAAGCAGTGGAGTAATCTTGGTGATAACGATTGATTGGTTAGTTTTTTTATAGTGTCAGTAATTTTTGATATTGAAACCCATAGTTTTATAAGCACAAAAATAACATCGAGTGGAATTTGAAATCTTTTATTATTTAACAGGCACTGAATAAAACTCATTACCAGGACTAGTGATATTAACTACTCAAGTGACTGATCTCTTAGAATTATTTTTGTGCCAAAATATCTAAAAGCATTAACCTTGTATCTGTAATCAGTAAAGAAAGGTTGTGAAAAAATTTTCGACCCTTGAAAAAACGTATCTGTACTTACAACAATGTCAACTGGATCTTATGTTGGTCAGACATTTAAAAATAAACGTAATGGTAAATTTCTAATTCCTGATTATGTGACGCTTTCAGGTATAGGTACCTATATTTATAAAAATGGATATTATAAGTATGAAGGTGAATGGTTCAATGGTAAAAAATGTGGTACGTTTTTCGAATTCATCTAATATCTTAGGGAATGGAAGATTTTTTATGAAGGATGGTAGCATTTATGAAGGTAGCTTTATTGATGGAGAGATGTGTGGGAGTGGTCGTAGATTTTATGCCATATCGAAAAACGAGTACATTGGCCATTTTATGTTTGGGGAACGTCAAGGGTACGGTCTAATGAGGTATGGAGATGGATCCACATACAAAGGAGATTGGCATCACAACGTACAACAGGGTAATAATCCATTTCTAAAAAAAACTAAAAGGAAGGTCATGGAGAGTTTGTCGACGTGGACAAATGCAAGTATGTTGGTGGATTTTTTCAAAATAAAAGAAATGGACCAGGATGTTTGTATTCACATAAGTATGTAGCAATGTTTATGGGAATAACTTATCGAAGATTTTATTACATAGGGTATTGGAACAATAATATTTTTCATGGCAATGGTATCCTAAAGATGATAAATGGCATAAAATATGAGGTAAGAATAATTTATTAAAATAGACTCCGACCCATATTTTGAATAAAAAATTAGAAGAAATTGAAGGGTAAGATAATCACTTCCATATCATATAGCTAGTTGATGGAAAACAGACAGTCACTGCGTTATTTCAACGCACTATAAGTTCGTTGTGTACGTCAATAGCAGGAGAATTTAGTATTTTATGCCCAGTATTAGGAAATTATACTGTCTGTTTTCTTACTAGTTATGATGATCTGTTTCATTGTTGAACTACTTTGTAAAACAATAATATTTAAAATATCAAATAGTGAAATCACTCTTTGCTTTCAATTGTTCAATTGGCAATTTATTCATTGTAACCAAAACATGATGAGCTTTAATTTTCATTATTTTAAGTACATACATTGTAATTAACGTAACATTTAATGTACAAATCCTAGCCAAGACAACAATGAAATCAGAAACCAGAGTTTGATGCTTACTTATCACATAAGATAATTAATTTGTGGTAATGAGAAGACTGAGGCAGGCGCGATAGATTGTATTTAGGAAATTTACACTCTGAGTCAATTAAAAACGAAAACATCACATTGAACACTCTATTTGCACACCATCTTTGAGTCGTGACTTCCAACGCTCCAGCCTTCTTCCATTCCTGCTGTGGCCTCCTTTACTTCATGTCAGTACTCTATTTATTTATTGCTTTTGCTCCATTTGCTTTCCGTTTTCCTCTTCTGACCGTGAGACTTCTTCTTTCACGTCCATCCTTATACTACTTATATCGTTCATATAAGTAGCACACACCACAGTAATGCTGAAGTATTTACAATACACCAAAAAGATAACTAAGTCAAGAGAACTAAAGGGGGCAGTGATAAAGACGATGACACATGTCGATTAACCATTCAGCCTTACTAGAACAAATGACCGGTTAGAACTCTATTACATAGGCTTTATATATTACACTATTCTTTGGATATGTGGTAATTTTAACTGACTGTTACTATTTTGTACCTGCAAATAAGAATTTCTGTATAAGTTGTGGATTCTCTTTGTTAACCTTTATCTAAACATAATTTGTGAAATGGCGGTTAAACGTGAAATTCCTTAAATTAGTAGAATCAGCTTTCCTCAATTTATATCAGGAAATAATTTGTCTTTCAGTTAACCAATGAAGTGTAATCAGTTCGCCCTGAAATGAGGAAAAACATGTCGATTAACCATTTAAGGTGTTGAGTGTTTTTATATGGGACGCTTGAATATTGTTATTCCTCTTTTCTTGATTTGTTCAATTTTACACATTGTTGTTTACATTTCTACTTACTTACTTACCCAAAGCGTTTTTTTCAATAAGAGTTGCGAAACCTATTCAAATTTTTCTGTGGAACAATTTTTATGTCAACTTTTCAATGATCCCCTGTTAAACTATCTTATAGTTTAACAGTCTGTAAATTTAAATGAGACTCCTGTTGTGTTAGAAATTAGACATTTTTTCTTAAACTTGAGTTTGGCATTTTTTCGGCATTTACAATTGTTTTTTGGCTATTTCACCTACCAAACATTTAGATAACATTTGTTGTTTACTTTGATAATTTGTTCCTAAGGGCGAATTCAAAAATGGCAAACCAAATGGACAGGGTAAACTAACACGTAAAACAAATCTGCTGCCTAATTATGAAGGATTCTGGAAAGATGGTTTGCCTTGTCAAGCAGCAAATCATATGAAATTGTCAATTGAATCAGATAAACAACATTCAAAGACTAATTCAGCATGTTTAATGGAATATCGAAATTCTCCACTTGACGAGAAAAATTATAAGTTTGCTTCATTTTCAAAAGTGGAAATTGCATCGCATGAATTGAAAACAAAATGCAATATTGATGTTTGCATATACAGCGATAGTGGAAAGATTTTGATTGAAGGCAAGCATTTATTTATTTTAAGTTGGCTGAAAAATCTTATTTAATTGATTATCAGAGTGACTAACGGATGTGTCTATCATTTAATTTCATCATTTTCAATTGATGATTGAACACAGTACTGAATACTTTGAAAGCCAAGATGCTATCCACCAAATCATCGGACTATTGAATTATGACAATCATTAGCCATCATTAGACAATATAACTCTCCTCTTCTATTTACTTACCATGGCCCTAATAGATCCACCACTTTCAGTAAATTGGGCTCCTTGTTGAGATACCATGAATTATGTTTCATAATTTCTTGTTTGAGCTTAACAAGTAGTTAAAAGATACACAATTTTTCCCAATTGGAAAGTTGATTTATTTAGAATAACTACTAATGTTACTTATTTTGAGTCGAGTAGTATAATGTATTAGCATGAAATATTCTGCTATGATGCAAACTTTAGTCATATAGATATCATAATTTCCAGAGCTAACTGCATTTAACACCACCCTCCCTTATGATATGTCAACGGTGAATATTATGTCAAATTGTTACAGTTTCTTGCCCTGCTGATTAAATTATGGCAACTGGAACCAATGTACACTTGTGTTATATTTCACATTGTGTGTTTGACTAAATAACTGACTCTTAGTTATTGCAATCGACAGCTTTTAAGTAGTTTATTTTATACAATAAGAGATATACTATTTATTAAGTAACAAGTAGACCGTGTTTTTACTAGTGAGTGCTATGTTAATTAAATAAAATGTTTCACTATTAACCTTTATATAGAAAGTAATCGACAACTTGCTTTATGGATAGGAAAAATTTGTAAAGATAACATACAAATGAGAATTCCTGTTGATTGTCAAATTTCAGTGGAAACTCCCCTTTTGTTATCATTGAAAGAAAAAGGAATTTATACAATGCAAACACCTTTGTAAGTGATTATTTTGTTTTTCTTAAAAAGACCAACTATCGTAATACTGTTGGGATGGGTTAGGAAGCTTTTTATTGTCATCATGATCATGTGCTGACCATCAATTACAGAATGGCTGTTCGTTTCTTAGAGAGGGACTGTTTGATCTTGTTATATCCAAGACTGTTTGTATTAAATAATTAACAGGTGCTCATTGGTAACTATCTCCAATATACAACTTTTGGAGTTCTGTCGAAAAGCTGTGATGAATGGAGTTAAACCATCTCGTGTATGATGCAACTACTGCTGTAGTGAACGAGAACACAGGTGGGGCAACCCAATTGTATTTAACGAAAATTACAGAGTTACTCAGTAAAATCGGAAAACGATATCGTAAATCGTTAATTTGCAAAATATCAGTTCATCATATCGAACTGGACTGTTCCTGTTGCAAAACATCAATCCATTGTCACTATTCATGAGTTTCATACAAATTCCATTGTGTTCTAACTCTTCCTTTCTTGATCTTCCCCCATCTTCTGCTGCCAGACATTACGTTGACACTCACATCATATACTACTTATAAGTAGCTCGCACCACAGTACCATATGAAAAACGTGATATTTCATTCGTATTGTTATCTAAAGACAGATCACTCCATTTTAATTCTGTGTCAATAATATTCTGAGAAAAATTCTTAATTCAGAAGATGGTTATTTGTGTGTTTGTTTGTTCTTTTAGTCTGTTGGCGTATTTTCTTTTGAAGTATTGATCTAGTTAGCTCTTCTGAATGGATCTAGAGCCAGGGAAATTTTCTAATCAAAATTATAAGTAGAAATGAAATCCACATACCAATTTGAATGTGTCAGTTTACGGTGAATGGTTAGATCTAAAAAAAAGTCCACTTGAATTTCTTTTATTTGAGAAATTTTAGAAATCTGAAATAATGTTTAGTTTTGTTGGGGATGTTAGATCCCCACAACTCGCTTGATAAATATCTTTATTTTGGATTTTATTCATGGACCGATCAGTTGACCTTGAGATCACATTTCCCACCAGGTGAATCCTTGGCTGTGATTGGTTACAGTGTCATTTTAGTGTGCTATTATTGTTTCTCTCCCAAGCACGTCTCTATGGAGTATAAATAAACGCAATTTGAGTGCTTGGATTCATTGTGTGCTTCTTGGGTGTTTGTAGAATACGATTTCTACACCAATCAAAACTTCTTGCTGATACCTTTTGGTCAAGGGATCAGAGTAGCCTACCTGGACTCTGGTTCATTATTTTGTTCTCGTTATGCGACCAAGGTGAACACTATACTTAGAGACGATCTTAACAAGTTTCTTTTAAAACACTAGTAGGACGTTGATTTACTTTGTATGAACGATTCTATTACGTGTACGAATCACTTGCATTCAACTAAATATTCAGTGAGCGGCGATTAATAAACCATACATCAATTTATGTCAAGCAAATGTATATTACTCAAATACAAAAAAGGTAGGAAGCTATATGAATGCCAATCAGATATTTATTTGACCACACATTTTTTAAAACCATGAATCGATCAATGTTAGACCACCATTAGAAACCTGGAACCACTGGACTGCCGCTTCGTCCCGGTATGGGACTCCTCAGCAGTGCGCATCCATGACTCCTGCACCCCGCAGGATTGGAACCCAGGACCTTCGGTATTGTGCGTGAACGCCCTAACCGTTAATGTAAACTTAATTATATTTTTCAGTTTCTAGATACAGTATGCTTGGGGACATCTTTCTAATTTTGATAAGTGTGTGATCTGCAAATCTCAGCGAAATTTGCTGTCTGCTTAATATTCATAAAAATATATATGATTCTGTGCGTAACCAAAATAAACAAGTTAACTATACGAAGAATACAGGAGAATAGATTTCCACTCCCTTTGTCTGTTTGTTTATACAAGCATAATTCTTTGTAATATACTACTAGAAAGTAAATTAATTGATTTTGGTGATACGATTTAAGTAGCATGACCACGATAAACAGCTTGTTACTTTCAACGATCATATATTTTTCAGAATTTAATAGTGTTTTGAACGGTACAAGAGAAACTTTACTTTTTAACAAGTGTCTATCTACTTCAAATCATTCCTTCGTTTTTCTAATGGATGTACTATGTTGTTTGTTTTTTTTTCTGTGTGAAAAGTTAATTCACGTTTATAAACATAACTAGTAGTTAGTTAATCAATACCACGAATAATAAATAAAACAATAAAATATAATGAACACTACTTGAAAAGATTTGCTTCTTTATTCAATCGTAATGAATTACAGTAATTACGTGGAATGATGCATTACACTATTTGAATGGAGTTAATACTGTAATCTACTAATCGATAAGTTTATAATGAGCCCACGTTTAAAAATTCATTAATCACATGAACTGATTAAATTGTAGATTAGGTGAAAAGGAACATTGTCATGTATGAAATATATATATATATATATATATTCTTTGGTTTGCTATTAATTATTACATGCAAATTGGTAAGTGTGTAAGAATGCAATATTGATCGATCTGTGAAATTAGAGTAGTAAGTAGTACACTGTGATTGATTTATGATATTATTCACTGACGAGACCGAATTTTAAGCTTCTATTGAGACGAACATGAAAGAAAACAAATATAGTTCGATACAATTAAACGTATCTACTAAGTAACTGAAAAAGGGTTTCATATTGTCTCAGTGGTTTTAACCGGTATTGTCCAAGTTATATCCAAACTGTTATCAATACCAAGAGCTGACCTTAACTTATCATCATTCATTGAAAACTAGGAAGCAGTGGACTTTTATTTTGTTCTGGTATAGGACTTCTCGTCTGTGTACACTCATCACATACACACACACACACACAACATTCGGTTTCACTCGCAAGCACTTAATCTCTAGACTACTGAACTGGAATTCAATCCCCCTCAATGAACTTAAATGGATGTCTAACTTTAGTTAGTTCATATAATATCACTAACAAAACCAGTCATCTTCAAAAATATGTTTCCATAACTTAATCGGGATCAGTTTAACAAACTGAGCTGTTCATTGTCGATTAATTAGTGACTGATTTACAGAGAAATTGAGTTACTGCTTTCTGCTAACTGTCTCTATAAGATAGTTTATTTTAGTAATAGGATAGACGATTGGTCAATCTTTTGATTAAGATTTTTTACTCAACTGAATAAAAAAACTTATGAACAATTAACGCTAATGTCAGTATAAGGTATTGTAGGGATTGTAGAAATTTTATGATGTGAATCAAAAAATGGTCTTATATTTAGCACTATTGTAAAACCCAAAACACTGGATGGCTGTTTCATCCTAATATGGGATTTATCAACCCTTCACATTCACAACTCGATATCTAAAGAACCGCATCCAAGATATACGGTCCAACCAATGGAGGCTTAATCTCTAATTTCAATCAGTCCATGATATTGTGGAACCATCTTCAGTTTCCTGAAGTGGTCCACCCGACAGTGGCCACTCAAGGCAATGGATGAAGGTTGTGCAGTGTCGTGAATCGATTGAATTTAGACGATTGCACAGTCAGATACTGGCTAAGTAGCGTAGAGATTAAGCATCTGCGTGTGTGGGACCGTAGGTTTTGAATGCTCTGCCTTGAATGTCGAGTCGTGTGAATGTGCCCTGCTAAGGAATCCCATATTAAGATTAAACAGCCATCCAGTGTTTTTGCATTTTCAATAGTGGTGCATCTAAGATCACATTTCATGATTTAAACTACGATTTCAATATTATTATTACTGTTAATAATTTAAAAATTATTGCATCTACTTATTAAAATTTATTCACTTTAATAAAAGTGGTTCCCGCATCTATCCAGTTGGTTCGGTTACATTGATTTCTAATAAAACAGTGGTAGATAAAGACAGTTCATTGGTACATTCATCTACTGATGATGAGGATATCAATCATGCTGTGTCTAATCTTACTTTAAATGAAGAAGATAATGGTAAGATGTGTTTATTCATTTATTTTGTCATACTTTTGAGTTCTGTTGCTTAATTTTTATGTTCTCATTTTGAAATGATATTTTAAAAAGCATAGCAGCATTGATCACGATTTGGTGATCTTAAAATTCCATACATAAACTGATTGTTCATTTCATCCTGGTCGGTGTTGACAGGAAAACAGCATTAATTCCTAAATTATATATTTATATACTTACTTAAGCCTGTCAACCCCAGTAGAGCATAGACCGCTGACCAGCGTTCTCCAACCTACTCTGTATCGGGACTTTTGTCCCAGTTCTGTCCAACTGCTGTTCATTCCTCTCATTCATGTCTGTCTCCAATACTCAGCATAGTGTTGTAATCTTTAGCCTTCCATACATATATTTACAAAAATGTCATTTGCCCACTGATTGTGTTTTTTTATTTAATCTACTTAGTTGAGGAATTCGGGATGGATTCTTATTATTTTTATCACTTCCAGTCATGGAAAATCTTATTAAATCAGCTGTGTTGTTGCAATACTACTGGATAATTACTGAATATTATTTGTGTAAATCTTTCAAGAATAATAAGGACAGAAGGTGATGTATAAGAAACAACAGTTTAGTGTAGTGTAAATGAGTGAGTCAAGTCAAGAGATAAAACTTCACGACTAAACGAAAGGTATGCAATTTAACAATAACATTAATGATACGGAGAAAATAAATCAATAATGAGTATTACAATATTGGGATAGTGTATTATGGAGATCACTGAACGGCCGTTTCGTCCTGTTATGGGACTCATCAGCGGCGAGCATCCACGACTACTGGTACTAGCAGGATTCAAACACAGGACCTTGGATCTTGAGCGCGAACGCTGAACTTCTGTACCACTGAGCCGGCATACAACGGTTTTAATGCCTAACTCTGATCGAACTAAGGATTTTGTGCAACCTCACCCATTTATCCTTGGTAGTTGCTGCTTACAACTTACAGGATTGAACTCCCCTACTGCTGACTCTCATACCAGGACGAAACGGTCGTCCAGTACTTTCAAGTTTCTAATGGCGGTCTAAAAATGATTCATTTATGATTTCGAAATTACGATATTCTCTATATTGAAGAATATAACAAGAACCAATACGTCTATCTTCATCTAATAAGATTTTTGCTGTTGTTTAAACCCAGCATGTCATTGTTGTGGTTACCGGTGAGAATGATGACAAACTATCAAACTAAGTGGGTCATAACGGTAGTGAATAGTCACAAATATCTCATGATTCATTCATTTAAGAAAAAAATTTTTTCTGATATAAATATTTAATCGTCTAGAAAAAGAGATTTAATTCATCATTGGTCTGAGCTGTGTTGGTCGATGCACACTACTTGTTCAGGGTTATTCAGATGATACAGAACGGTATGAGTTGGTTGGTTATCCGTCTTAGAATTCTGTTTTTGATTGCCCTAGATAAATTCACTATTCACCTTCGTTTCAATCTTGAATATCAGTGTTTCTTCACACATACTATGGCTCAGCGATTATTTACTTATTGTTCATACTTTCTGCTACTAAATTATTTTCAATTTCGTTTGCAATTCATCTTTTTTATCAACATTTCTTGGCGTTAATTTGATTTGGTAAATTAGGCCGATGAATTTATTTTATTTTTTTCAAGCTCTACATAGATAATGACTGACTAGTTTGAAATAGTATTTATTTTATATAAGTTATAAACATTGTAGACATGGAAGAGTTTTACAGAGTTTACTGTGGTGAGATTATAAACACATGATATTGACTGATATAGCTGAATTGATAACTTGCCTATGAAATCGATCTCATAATCTGTTACAGATAAACGATCATAGTCAGTGGTCATATATATCTGAACATATATATATATATATATATATATATATATATATATATATCCTCCGTCTTACTTTATGGCTGTGAAACATGGCCAATGAGAGTAGAAGATATTCGTAGGTTACTGGTTTTCGATCATATGTGTCTTCCAAGCATTGCTCGTATATCGTGGGACGAACGAGTGATCAACGCTGTTATTAGGAATCGGGTGCTAGGTAAGAATGGCAGATCAATAGATGAAGTGATGAAACTTCATCAGTTGAGGTTGTTAGGACATGTGTTGCTTATGCCCAACCACCGACTGCCTCGTCGAGCTTTGTTTTGTAGTGTAGGAATAGGTTGGAAGAAAGTTAAGGGGGCGGCCAAACCAAAACATGGCAGAAATCCATGAAGTCATTGACGAGTGGACTTAGCCATGTCGGTAATTGTCGACTACCTGGTTGGGGTCCGCGAGATGATAATAATCGATGGTTAGCGACCTCGAATAACATGGCTCAAAATCGTTCGCAATGGCGCCGGTGCATTTATTCTCTGTGTTCTCTCAAATCCTAATCTTCTGGGTTCTTCAACACCTCTGGTTTTGACTTTCTAAACTTTTCTCACTGAATCATACCTCTTAAATTATATCTTCTAATCCTAACCTCTCCAATTACTTCTAATATCTTTACTACCTCTTCTTTTATTGGATTTGAATTGACAATTACATCTCTGTGCTGATGTGGTACGGCGACATGAACTGATGTACTTTCGTAGGAAGTTCTACGTTGCAACTGACTGACTGACTGATATATCCAATGCAGGACGTTCAGTTAATTTTCAATCGAAGTAGTATGATTTAGTCACTTATTAAGTAACACAGAAAATATGTTGAAGTTGCAAAATTTCAAACTTCAACGAATGATTTACATTTTTATTCTTCAACAAACCATTTAGTTTGTTTGTTTGTTTATAAGATAACAAGTTTTCTAACTGCATCGATCATCTGTTTCACGATGTATAGTATTCTAGGGAATTGAAAAAAATTTATCAAATTCTTCACTTTGACTCTTTCATTGAACTTTGAATGATTTGTAATATTTGTTTTTACACTCTGGCTCAATATACAGAATGTATGTAAGTTAAACAAGTAGAAAAGTTATTTGATACGAAATCGAATTAACAACACTAGTATAGTTATAATTTGTCAATTGATAATTTTCAATTCTATAACTGACATCTTGAATTTGAACTGATAATTGATGATTTAATGCTATATATTCAATAAATAACTGTTTCATCTCTGATTTGATTAATCTCTAGACGTCACAGTTTTTCATTGTAATTTTGTTAAATTCATTCTAATATTGGCAATTAAATATCCTCGTGATTATTGAATCAAACGTTTGTTTTACTAGAAATGAACTTTAAAACAAAACAAACAAACAAAAAAACGCACCAATTTTGAACCATAGTCTTTTTATTTAAAACATCAACTCATTGGAATATTGTTTTGTTTTAGCAAATCAACGATTAGTGAATAAAATTTTTGTGTACAAACAGTTTACTAATCGTGGTTTCACTACTTACTCGATCATCAAAAAATCTTCAATCAATAATGATAAGAATACCAATGAAACAATTCAAACAGAACATAATATAGTTGACGATTTGACGTCAACCCCGGCGCTGGATGAAGATGAATATTCTATTGATTTATCACAGATAGAAAAGTCAGTTCTGTCGTTTGAAGAATATATCAACTCATCTCAGCTTAATCCACTACAATTAGACGGTAAATACAACTTTTTATGTATAATTATTGAGACTAATTTTGTGGTGGTATTCTGTTAGACACTGTCGATTTATTCGACAGTGAAAGAAGTTTGATTTATGGTCAACATTTAATTTGTTTGACCTGTATTTATCAGCAAATTATGTCAGCTAGTGTCAGATATATATATATTGATCAAACCAGCTAGGGAAGAAATTAGATTTACAATTTCGAAAATAATCCGTTGACGTTAGTGAATATAACTGATAATATAATTCGGCTTAGACACCTCAATACTAACAGAATAATTTACCTGATTTACGAATTTCTTTTTCTCTGTCATCATTTTAATGATAACTACAAATAACATCTATTTCTACAATCCTTATCATTAGTTTAGATAATTGAAAAGAAATAGATTCCTCTGAATGTCCATCTATTTCAAAGTGTCATTACAGGTTAATTCAATTTATTACAGAATTCCCAAAGAATAGGTTCGGTCGAAAGTTTAGCCAGATGGATGTAACATATATTGCATCAGTGAACTATTGTTAAATGCCTTTTGTAGTTCGTCGACTAATACTAGTTCGTACTGAACTTAGAAACAAAATTTTTCAGTATGTCCTGCATTTGACTCCCGAGAGCGGGAGTCATAGATCAGCACTGCTGAAAAGTCACATACTAGGGAAAAACGGTCGTAGAGTACTCCCAGTTTTCTAATGATGGTCTAACAATGGCTGATTCATAACTTCAATGACAGATTAATCTCTACTCTATCCTGAGCAATAATATGTGTAAGTCCAGGATTCTATCCTCTTTCAAGTCATAAACACCTATCACCGCGGAGTCACATGATAAGATGAAATGTCTACTCTGTGCTTCCTGGCTTTTATTGGTTGCCTAATCAAGGTCACTTCGTGATATGAATCATAAAATGAATGTGTTTTTACCATTATCTGTCGACTATTTTCTTTTTTGAACAGAATAGCTGTTTTGTGTTTATGAATTACAGGTTAAACTTTTTTATCGATTTTATGACTCACTGTGAAGCGTATAACCTATTGATATTATTTATTTTTGGCTTATTTAGAACAATTTATTTTAGTCGTTGAAGATATTACACCAAAGAATGAAGAGAAGGATGAAGAATTTCATTTGGACACTATTCCTGATCATATTTTGAAAACACCAGAACGCCTTTCACCACTTTTCATTAAGCTATGCTACACTTCAACTAAATAATTTGAAAACCTAGAAAAACGTCTGTCACATTAATGTAATGCAGATAATTGTTGTAATACTTTGTCACATTTTGAAATAAATTCTTCAAGAAAATGTATTTTGAACAGGTGTAATGTAGCTAGTTGTGAATTCCAGGAAAATTGATTTGTCCTGTTTGGTACTTACTTCTCAGCTGGAAGTACCCGCCTCCTTGAATCGATGTCCACCTCTTGAATTCGAACCCAGTACTTCTTGCTTCCAACTTCGATGCCCTAATCGACGATTTATTGCGTCTAGATAGCTACTCACCGGCTCACCAGACAAGAACTTTAGTTTAAATGATTTAAATTATCCTGGCTTGTAATTTGAAGTGGAAGATACCATGTTTGGGTCCCAAAGTCACCATTAACTCAGAGATGTAGTTACGCTTAGTTGTCAAATACCAAACAGAATGTAATGCGCATCCCTGAATTTGATCGCTGACCATATTTCATCTTTTTAATATAAACTTTCATCATAATGGCTCCATTCAAGTGACTTGCACATGATTCATACTTGTCAAGATCAAAATTATTATGAATTATATGAAAACCTATTTCATTCTTGAATTATGATGTAAACCGCTGCGTTGAACACAAACTAATACTAATAATGTTATGGCATGTTCATTTCAATAAAAGGGTACAGGTTATTTGGAATTATAGTCGAAATTGATCTAGGATACAGGTACATGCGGCTGATGGGTCCCAAGTAGAGCGAAACGTGAGTTCTGAATTCCAACGCTAACGACCATTCATTTTTGCTTATGACTTAATGGTATAACATTGGGGCAGTCTGGACAGGATGCATACGCCAGAAATCAATGATTGTTTTCAGTCATTAACAGCAAAGGAATAATTCAAACAACCAATACAAATTATGCATAAGCAGTTTGATTATGTGTATCAAACGTTAGAATACTGAACAAGGACTTGAAATAATCAACTTCCTTATAACACAACGTAGGTTTTGTTTTGACATACGGTCATTTCTACAAGGTCACAGTATGCTTTTCACAATCAAATACGCATGCATACATGAGGTTTCTTGTTAAGATCCTAAAGATAACAGAACTAATCGGTTTTAAGATCATAATACAGTTTGATTGGTCATGATGCCGTCAATAGTCTGTTCGGTTATCTCGTCTATTCGGTATGTGAAAGAACTAAAAAAAGTAAACACCGAAACCATTAATTAATCATGCAATAATATAAAATATGAAATAGTCGTTTAGTGTGTAAGAAATTTCTGGCCCGTTGTTAACATTTAACTTTTGTCTATTTAAGTGAAGATATTTTTTTAATCAGACATTTTATTCATCACATGAAACAGTATGAATAAATCAAGAATTCAATTTATAGATAGCTGACAAATCTCTTGTTCTGTGAATTTTTCACAAACTACTTTTTGTATACAGATTGATAGAGTTTGAAATGAGCTATCACTAATAGCTAACATATCAGGTAGTAATCATACACAAAATGAAACCAAATATCTTATGCTTTTTTTGTTTTCGTAAACACTGACCAATTAATTACACATGAAGTGATAATTTCAATGTTTCAAACATCTCGTCATTTGTTTAGCTCATTTAAATGTTCAATGTCCATGATATTGTTTTCATTTCCAGTTTGATTTAATTCCACAGATCATGTTTTGTATTTCGAACTCTAATGAATTCATCTTAAAGTAAACTATTCACTTGTATAATAGGATTGTTATTCACTGTGAGAGTATTGTATTGTAATGCTGTCGTTAGGAAATGAGTACTAGGTAAGGATGGCAGATCAATAGACGAAGTGGTGAAACTTCATCAGTTGAGGTGGTTGGGATATGTGTTACGTATGCCTAACCACCGACTGCCTCGACGAGCTATGTTTTGTGGTGTAGGAGTAGGTTGGAAGAAAGCTAGGGGCGGCCAGACCAAAACATGGCAGAAATCCATGAAGTCACTGACTAGTGGACTGAGTCATTTTGGTAGATGTAGACTACCTGGTTGGGGTCCGCGAGACGAAAGTCGCCAATGGTTAGAGACGTTGAACGACATGGCTCAGAATAGTTTGCAATGGCGCAAGTGCATCCATTCATTGCGCTCTCTCAAATCCTAATCTTCTGGATTCGTCAACACCTCTATCTTTGTCTTCCTAACCTTATCTCACTGAATTATGCTTCTTGAATAATATCTTCAAACTCTAGTCTTCTTCATTATTATTAATACCTCTACTATCTCTATCACTATGGGATTTGATTTGACATTTGCGTCTCTGTGTTAATTTGGTATGGCAACTTGAACTTATGTACATACGTACGAAGTTCTACGTTGCAACTGACTGACTGACTGACTGACTGTGAGAGTGTTGTAACAAGTCATTCCATGATGACAAATACGTTCAATTAAATTTAACATTGAACACAAGTTCAATTTTGTTTGATGTTGACATGTCACCTAAATCGAATGATTAATTAATTGAATTTATTCTAATTTTCTCTTACAGAAGATATTTTTTTTTAAAAAATTCCTATAAATCTAATAAGAAAAGACAAGCGACCATACATAAATTGTAAAATTATACTTCAACTGATAATAATAGTAATAATAATGATAATTAAACATTTTAAAATAATTTATGAAAAAAATATATATCTTTTCAAAAATAAAGATTTTCTGTATTCACAATGGAAGAGTCATAGAATTAATTATTTATCTCTTGGAAGTTTTGTTTTGATGATTGAATGTATTTTTTATAAACATTTCAGTGTATATAAATAAATTCTTAAAATTGATAAATCTGCATTCGGTAAAATTTTTCATCGACATCTTGTCGACTGATATAATAAAATTATTTTAAATCAGGTGGAGGATGATGATTTGTTGGTGACATTTCTGGTGATTCAATTTTATTCGAGCTGAAAGAAATATTCATAAAATTTTCTAAATGAATGACAATCAAGTAAAACAGTTGAATTCAATTATTTATTTATTTTAAGCACATAAACATTAGTATCAAGCGGCTTCAAAATATATTTGTGCTACACAAAAACCGTTGAATTTGTGAATAGGCTGTTTGAGTGAAAAAAGAAACAACTGAAGTAGGTGGTTTTCTTATGGGACTATTACCCGAGTCCTTGACCTAGAGGTCTAATGATCCACAAAATAGTGGAACAAGGCTAGGAGATGCAATCCCATGGTAGCCGGTGACTAACAATAGGTTTATACACTGCTTCTTTATTCATGATCCTAGCAACCCGGTTCAAGCGCCGGTCATTCTCATTCTGACCTTCTAACAATACCAGTGCCATGAGAAGGCAGTGAGTAGAACTCCCCTGGCTGTATACGCGTGGCTATATGCGAACATTTGGTGAGGCATAGTGGACTCTCACCACTATTGACTGGAACAAGGTATTTAGAAACAGTTGAATGTTAAGTAATGAATGAAAATGAAAATATTATCTTGATGTTCATAAACTTAGTTGCCGTTCACTGTTCGACTATGCCATATGATTTTTTCATTGTAAACTCGACTAGGTTTGTTCCTAAATCTGATTACGTAATTTATATGAGCTATCAGTTTTGATGAAGTAATTCAAAGTATGTATTTCTAGGTTATGTAAATATACATTTGAAATCATCAATTGATCATTGTTAGATCATCATTAGAAACTTGGAAGCACTGGACGGCCGTTTCGTCCTGGTATGGGACTCAGCAGTGCGCATCCACGACTCCTGCTCCTCGCAGGATTCGAACCTGGGACCTTCGATATTGTGCGCGAACGCCTAATCATCGGACCACTGGGCGGCATCCAACGGTGTTAATGTCTAACTCTGATTGATCTAGTGATTTTGCGTGACCTCACCCATTTGTCTTTGGTAGTTACTGCCTAAACCCGATGGGGTTGAACTCCGTTGGTCACTTCTTCTCAACTAGAACTCCGTGGATGCGCACTGTTGATGAGTCCCATATCAGGACGAAACGGCCGTCCAGTGCTTCCAAGTTTCTAGTGGTGGTCTAACAATGATTTATTGATGATTTCAAATGTGTAAAAACACAAACCTCCGAAACTCTGCCTGAAAATATGTAAATATAGTTAGTGATCAGTAATAATGTCAATAAAAGTGTTTATTTTTCTCTAGACCTCTAATGGAAACACTAAAGATTTCCCACGAAAGTTATACTTTTTAGTTACAATTTACCGGAATATGAATTGTTGATATGAGTGCCGATAAACACAGACTTAAAATAAATGACTTCTTAAAAGTTCATTCATTTCGTTTAGCAGTCGGTTTCAATCAACCAAGGTACTGTGTCATCTAGTTCATTAATTATATTGTCTATATTAGCTGAAAATATATTGAATAACTGCTTGACTTGAGCGCTTAAAATGATAACATTAAGTAAGGAAGGATTTTCAGTATTTCAACGGATAAGTGAAATTCGTTGAAACATAGCGCATTTCAGTGTGAAAGACACACTATCAATAAATACTTCAGTATAAGGATGCTTGCAACAACGTGCCCAACCCTACCCCAGTGTCCAGGCTTGAGAGCTAGGCAATAACTCTAGAAGGGCTTCAGGTGAAGATTTTGAATCGCTTAGACTTTTATAAAAATATTGGATGCTGTTTCTCTTTGAAATGTCACTGATAGTAATTAGGTTATTTGTAATGAATCATTGAAATGTTGGCTGTATTGTTAATTTAACATTTATACACTTTATAATATATTGTTTTCTGATACAATTTTGGTTCAACAATCATAATTTCTAAGAAAAGGCATTTAAAGGTTTAATTTTGTGTCGGATATTACTTTCTCTCATTCATGTAACAAAATCTTTTGACAGACAACTTAACGCTAAGTAATTTTGGAAATACATTCAATTTGTAATTAATAGTTTGTTTATTTTTTCTTAGAGTAAACATGAAAGTTTGCTTCTTGATAAGGTCAACCTTATAGATAAATTAAGACACCACACCTAGTGTCAGGCAGTGAATGATTCACGAAGCTGATATTTTTTTTTTTTACTTGTGAATAGACTAAACATAGTTTTAGTAAAATCAAAAAAAATCTAGTGCCAATACACTAGGGCCTAATCATTACTAGTAACTGATAAGTAACCTAGTAAATAATATCCAGTTCAAAAAACTTTCAACTGTGCTTTAAACTTGTTTGTTTTTACTTGAATTGTTTCTACAAACTGGAATCAAATCCCGGGTCATTATTGAATTTCTCATTATTAGAGAGGATAAGTAAAAATTGTTATCAACAATTTTTACGCAAAGTTTGTTGAAATCTATTGATACCAGAATGGCTTTTGCCTAATAACTTACACCTAGAAAATCCTAACAAAATAAACTATTTTAACTGAAGAAATGTCTAGAATTCAAATCCACACATCTGATATCCGATTTCATTCAATCAACAGGTGAGATGTTCTTCAGTACTTTTCAGTACGACTAAATATAGATAAAAGCTAACATATACATACATTGTCTGAATTTTAAAAAATACAATCACACGTCATCATAAAGTGGTGGTGGTCGATGTGGTGATCGTTGTCGAAAAAGAGTTATCTCGTACTCCTACCTACCCACCTGTCTGCTGAACAAACGAAAACAGAATATTTGATTCTTTAGTGTTGCTTAACACAGTAATAGAATCAATTCTAATACGCAGGCACGTAAATATATATATATATATATATATATATATATATATATATATATATATATACAATTCCATTCATCAATATGACGGCTTCTAACTCTTACCAGCTTTATTTAAACTATTGACAACTGACAAATAATTCGCTTCATAGATTGACCTTAAGAGAAACAAGGTTTACTTAGTTCATTCAGATCACTTCAGACAGCTATTATATACAGTCATTCAGTTCAGAAAAATACATTTTAATCAATATTGTTGTAAATAATCTCAAATGTTCAATAAATAATAAATAACTAAAAATGGATTATATAGTAGACTATATTTGAGTTGATAAGTTAACGTAGCACCCAGCCTCTGTAGCAAGCAGCATTACAATACTCTGATACAACACAACATGTGACAACCGAATCACACTTGACGGACAAGCCTTGGAGGAGGTGAAAACGTTTACACAACATTGATGAGCAAGGTGGATGTGATGCAAATGCAAAGATATGGATTAATTAGCAAAGCAAGGGTAGCATTTTCATAACGGAAGAACATCTGGAACTCAAAACAGCTATCAACTAATACCAGTGTTAGAAGTTTTAAGGCAAACATTAAGCAAGTTCTATTGTATGGAGCGGAAGTTAGGAGAATCACGAAAGCTAACAGTTATCTACACATGATACAGCATATCCGCTAACCAGACACCATCAGGAACGACCTGCTGTGGGAAAGGTCAAGCCAGATTTAGTCTGAAGTAGAGATTAGGGAAAAGCGCTGGAGGCATGCAGGACATATTGCAGAGATCACAAGGCAAGCCTTAAGGCGGAATCCTAAATTCCAAGATTGAAGAACACATTACGCCGAATATTGGAAACAAACGTGAAAAGAATGAATAACACTTGAGTAGAACTGGAAAGGAAGGTGCAATAGAGAGTTTGTTAGGGAAATGCTAGTTGGCGGCCTAAGTTTCATTGTGGTTAACGTAAAATAAAACTAATTACACTAGGATGTATTGTGAAGATAAAAATGCACTCAACTTTTCTCTACTAATTGTGAAACTTCTGTCTGTTATTACATTATTTTTCAGGTTAATACGTGTCAACATCACTCGAAATCAAAGTTCCTATCAACATATCTGATATGTTTAGTGAGTTGAAATCAGTTTATCAAAAAGGAAATATCTCAGAGAAATTTATTGAAACTTTTTTTAAAGCTCCGTATAAAATAACCTCTGTTCATGCAAAGAAAAAACAGAATTACCATTCAATTTTATTTAAAAGAATCTGTTCAGTAATTTTATTTAAATTCCTTATCAGCAATGATATATTTTTTTATTCAATATTCAATATTCACTGGTGAATACAATCTAGAATAAACTATAGATTTGGATGAAATCTGTGAGCTCTCTTTGGAACTGTTATGACGCTGATTTGTTGTTTATTGAGGGTCAAGTTTATGAAATCTTAGCGTAAACTCTACCCAACAAATAAGATACTAACTGTCTGTTTGCCTAGTGTTCAATGATCACTAGTTTATGTTGTTATCAGCTCCATTCGGCCGGTTAGATCATTTAAAGTATATTTCATATCCTAAGTTTCAAATGAAGCAATTCATTTCTGTACAGTAATATAATTTAGACATGAATAAACTTTACTGGAAAAAAAGAATATCTACTCACTTTGTTTCAGAGCCTAAAACTGTTTGTTGTAAAGGCTCATCATCCGGTCCTTCATAAGCATATTCTAAAGGCGATTCTTTGCTAACTTTACAATATTCATTTTCATCATCAATTTCAGCGATTTCTAAACGCGACTGGAGTAATACATCGAAACCTGATCTACTGGTTGATGGCTCATTCATATTCGTTGGTGTATCTTCAGGTGTATGTTGCAGTGAGTCTAATTTAAAATGCACACCTGTAAATAATATTTTATAATAAAATGCATAAAATGATGCCTTTTATAATTGAATACCTAAATGGTAGTGGTAGTTGTTGTTTAAACCAACAAAAATTATCTCTGTTTTAGTCTGTTCATTATTGCATTTTGAAAATGAGGTTGCTGTAACAGAAAAGCGATGCTTAGCTTATTATCATCGATTTTGGGACGTTGTAAATTCAATAAGAAAGAAGTAATTTGACTGATAACTTACCACCTAAGCACAGTTGACAGAGACTGATTACTTAACATTAAGACAGAATTCATGAGTAGTGTCATCTGTACATTTCGTGTATATATATATATATATATGTATATGCAAGTTCAATGATTTGAGCGCTTGAAACAATCACCTCATGGTTTATACAGATAAGTCTTCCACTGTTAAAATAGAAATCAGATTCATGTCTAGTTCAACAGGTTCACGATCAATCATGTTTTTTTCTTCAAAAAGAGTGATAGTAAAATGAAAATGAAAAATTATTTCACTCATAAATTGACTTCAGTTGATCAGAGAAAAATGAGATAGTCGTTTTGTATTAGTTTAGGAATATATTTAAAACAGAGTAAACATATAATCCTATCATAAAACAACACCTAACTTGGCTAATACATTACTAACAGTTTGCGTACTCAATTTTTAGTTCATGCGTAATAAGTTAAAACGATCAAAAAATATCTCTTGAGGAACTTATTTCATTCGCGGATATACAAAAAACAATGATATTGAAATTCTTGGAGGGGCAAACTATAACTGATGGGATTATGTTAGTCATGAGACGGATCACTATTATGGCGAAAAATGATTTTCATGGTATGTCACAAACTAACTGGAGTCAAAAATATTATCATCTGATGATAAATTCGTAGTCGAAAGATAATGAGGTTACTTCAAGGTTTGGATGTCATAAATCTGATTCCTCTTATCATCTTCGATGAAGATTGCAAGAGAAAATCTCATGGTAAGATTTAACAATTGTTCTCGTCTCTGAATAGATCATAATATCAAATTTGAATGATTCTTTCTCAACCAAATTACTAAATGAACGAGATGTAGGCTCCTCTTCGAATTCGACGAACTAAAACACTGTAATGAGTGCAAAAGTTAAGATATGTTATTATTAACAAATCAAATATTGAAAATTATCTGGATTGAATCTTTTTGAGAAGATTTTATTCATAGTTGTAAATTCAGTATTCTTTTTCATGACTAAAGATTGTCTAAGCATTATAGATATACATATACATACTCGATAAAATGCATTTACTTTCTGCGGATAGATCTAAACTAATATATATTCTGTGCAATGACTGACTGTTCCTCTGTGTACAATTAAGCACTTTACAAGCGTAAAATATTATTTTGCATTATAATACTACGGCGAGGGTTGCTTTTACACATTTAAATCATGAATAAATCATTGTTAGACCACCATTAAAAACCTAGAAGCACTTCACGGCCGTTTCGTCCTGGTATGGGACTCATCAGCAGCGAGCATTCGCGACTCCTGCTACTCACAGGATTTGAACTCAGGACTTTCAGTCACAACCGCGAACACCTAGACAACTTAGCTGGCATCTAATGATGTTAAGATTTCGCGCAACCTCATCCACTGTCTTTGGTAATTACTGCCTACATCTGGTCAAATCTAACAATGATTCATTTATGGTACCAATATATGAAATATTATCAAGAAACTATCTAGTGCTTTACCGGGCTAATCATAGTATTAGAAAATCTATTTTAATAAATAAATGATGAGCAAATGTGTAGAGTTAATATACTCATTTCGAGAAATTTTACATAAAACTAAAAATTTTTCAATTTTCAAAATTTTGAAAGAAAAGATATAAAATCAAATTTTCTTTCACCAGTATATTTTACACACTGAAAAAAGTTGATAGCTCTGTTTAAAATTATATCGTAACTAATAATAATAGGACTGCTTATGGATTTCGAAATGACTGGAAATCTTCGCTGTTCAAAATGAATATATTTTTATTGGTGTAAGCTGCATAGTTTAATTGCTAATCTGTTATTGTTACCCTGAAAAAACTGTTGTGTCAAAGAGTTAATATCAGATAGATCCTTTGGGAAATTATTGCTCATAATTTATTGCATAATTATTAAACGCTTGACGTTTTGTGTTCCCACATGTTAATTTTTGTTACTTTTCGTTAAATCCATAAACTCTTGTTAGTTGTTTTCATTATAGAGCTGTGAGGATGATCGAGTCTCATAGTAATCATGCATCGATCTTTGTCAGATAATCGTTGGAAACTTCGAAGCACTAGACAGACATTTTTTCCTAGTGTTGCACACATCAGCAGTGCACACCCACTACTCCTGCTCACAGGGATCGAACTCGGCATATTCGGTCACGCGCATGAACGCTGAACCTCTAGACCACTTAGTGGGTATCCAGTGATCACAATCAATTATATTTCTACAACTTGTTATTAGTTAAGTTGTGTGTAAATTGTAATTTTCTCTACTACGTGTTCAGGTATTTGAGGTGTATTATTGCAAACGTTTTCAGTCATGATTAAACAGTGCCACAGAATATTAATCTATTCATTATCTCTGACTTTTGATTTAAATTTGGATTGATATTGGCTTGAGTACCGATAAGGGTTAAGGTTTCAATTGTTGGTCATCGGTTAAATTGTCCATCTGTAACACAGAAGGTCACCGGTGCTACATGTAATAGGCGCGAGTAGACTGAATAATACAGCTCTCTTAATAAACAACCTTAATCACATGAGCCTCTTTATCATTCAGTCATCTGAACGTTTTTTATTTAGAAATCATAAAACTATCGTTTCCCGCGACTGAAGATCAGTAAAATTCAAAAATACCATTCGTTTTTTATCAATCATACATTTCCTCAGTTTGACAAGTTGATAGATTTTACACATATTTTAAATGAATAACATTTGCTAATAAAATATAAACCGATCAGTTGTTATATTATAAATGACTACAAATCTGTTAGAGTAGTGGAATATGGACGCTTTTCTGTAGTTCCATTCTCTTAAATTGTCCCCTATAGAAAAAAAACTAGATTTTCTGTACAAATATTTATCAAAAAGGTCCAAAATTTCTTGTCGAATCAGTTGAATTGCTGGAATTTTTTACCGTTTCATGCTTGAAATATCTGCAAGTTATCATTTTGACAGTGATTTTAGATTAGAACCATAAATCACTCATTGTCAGACTGTAGTGGCCCATTTCGACGTCAAGCTCACCATTTGTAGTGTTTTATAAACCGTCAGACGCTATTTAGTAACGATTGTCTGGACGAGCTAATTACCGAGCTTAAGAACACGCAGTAAATCGACACACTACAAATGGTGAGCTTGACGTCGAAATGGGCCACTACAAGACCACCATTAGAAAACTGAAAGTACTGGAGGTCTGTTCCATCTTAGCATGGGACTCTTCAGCAGTGCGTATCCACAAACTCCGCTCAAGGGAATAGAACCGATCGAACCTTCAGTCTCATGCCCGAACGCTTAATCTCTAGACTCCTGGCCTGCATCTAACGGTGTTAGCGTCTCTATCTTTAGTTGATCCCTAAGACTAAACAATCTCACCCATTATCTACGCTGGGCACTGCTTTACATCCGACTCGGTCAAACTCCACCGGTCACGGCTTCTCATTAGAACTCCGTGAATTTCTTCAAGAAGCTAGTCACTAGTGAGCACAGATTTTATGCCTTTTTTAATTATTGATTCACGATTCTAATATAAAACAACAATCTACCTAATCCTATAACGAAAATAAGATTTTAAATGTATGTTGTGTAATTTTTCTGAGTTTTGTATAAATATTTATACATCATACATAGGTTATGTGCAAATTAAGTAATTAATTAATTATTTCCGATTGTCACAATATTGCGAAATTTCTGCACATCATTAAAATAGATGACTCAAGTGAATAGTTTTACAATATTTAAATGAGTTCTGTAAGAAGTGGTATATGAAAAAATGTATGCACAGATTTTCATAACTACTTATTATAAATATTAGAAGGATGTACCTGAAAAATGTACAACTAAAGCATAATTCTATTTGCCAACAAGTATGAATCCTTACCAAACCCAGATTACGGCTACATATCGATTGTTTCTGGCCATTTACGCATTATCCATGCAGTAAAGGTAGAAATTAATCTGAACAGAAAACAACGATTCCAATCGGTGGGATTCAAACGCTTTTGTTGTTGGTATTCACGGTTCCGATTCAATTAGTTTTCTTTGTGCACATCTGTACATACTTTGTGGATCGCTTAGATATAAATCTTTTGTCTCAAGTTGTATAAAACATTAGTTAACATTGGTCAACTAAACTCAACAGAACACTGGATAACGCGCATTGAAACTCCAGGCATTAAGTTCAAATTTCCACTTGACACATCGACCTTGAAATGTAGACACATTCAAATAATTATTCTCAACTACGATACTACTATTAGTTAAACCTGTTATGTTCCACACTAATTCATAGTGTTCATATATATTTATTGATCAAAACAAACATGGCAATAAAAACAATGTTTTGAAAAGCAATACTTTAACGGTTACCACAATAAAAATTACTTTTACTTCACTAGAAGAATAATAATAAAGAGATTAAAATTGATAGATACATAGTGTTACATTTTCAATGAATTACGCATAAAATTGATTTTTATAACAATGCAAACTAGTCTAGACAACCTTGAATTCAAAGGTTTTTTTGTTTCACTTTGTCAGAACAGAATGTAATTTTTATTATTATTATTATTATTATTATTACACATTCCTGTACTTTATATGCATCTTCTGTGGTTTTCATGTCACATGCAAACACCTTTTTAATTCATCTTATTAAACTGATTCATCACAAATTACGACGATATTTGTTAGAGTAAGAAATGTTACATGCATATAAAAAGATTTCATTTTACAATGTTTTACAATGGTAAAATGTCTTGATAATAATAATAATAATAATAATAATAATAATAATAATAATAATAATGCCCGGTTATTGATCTACTGTACATTAACAAAGATAAAGTGTTTCTTTGATACGATAAGAAGTTATCTAGTTGCATAGAGTCTTAACAGTGCGTTTCATTCTGTGACTTCATTTAAAATGAAGTTGTTTACTGGCAATCCATTGATTTACTTCTGTGAATACGATACCTACGTTTCACATAGAAGTATCAACATGCAATCTTACATTGTGAATTATTTGACAATAGTTTGGATAGTTTAAACATGTACTGTTAACTTTTATCGAAAAGATCAAGTGTTCACTTCAGTTTAAGGGATTTTAGCAGGACTAGATATACTGGACAAACCGATCACATTGAAGGCAGAAAATTTTGAATTTTGAAGCAAATCGCATTCATTATAGCTGGTGTTTCTTAGTGATGAAACCGGTAACTCGACATCCTAACCTCAAATTCTAACTCTTAGTTCAATGTCATAAATCTTCACACTTGGTTGTAACCCTCCCTATTCTGATATTGTTATGTAGCTGAATTGTTTTAAGGCCACTTATCATTTACTCAAATATCGTTTGTGATTTATAGTCTTGTCTAAGTTTCTAATCTAGTTTAGAGAATATTTTATACTTAATTTGGTGGATTAGCTAGTGTTCATTGATGTTACACCTCAGTTTTAACTGGTAAAGCGTAGTTCAAAAGTGATTCTAATGACTTATAATCCAGTATACTATAAAACACGTTGTAGACTTGAAAAATTTTCCGAAATCTTATAAAACACTTATCTTTGATTCCAATTTTTGCTCTGCTTACGGCTTAAAAAAATATTTCATCAATTACAAAACAAATTTACATGTTATCTGGTTTAAGTAAACGTTCTAGTGGGAAGTCGTGACCAGTGAAGTTCAAACCTGTTCGGATGTATACAGTGTATGAGGTTGCGCAACTCCGTGAATTTGATCAAGTTAGACATTAACACCGTTGGAAACCGTCTCTGTGGTCTAACGGTTAGGGCGTTCGCGCACAATACCGAAGGTCCTGGGTGCGAATCCTGCGGGGTGCAGGAGTCGTGGATGCGCACTTCTGAGGAGTCCCATACCAGGACAAAACGGCCGTCTTTCAGTGCTTCCAGGTTTCTAATGGTAGTCTAACATTGATCGATTCATGATTACATATAAAACTTTAGTGGACGTCTTATTTTTGTAATATTCATCAATATACTGAATTTAATATCTGACTATGAATACAGCACTTTTTCTGTAATGCTTCAATCGATTCTGATGTTATGATCACCCTGAACAAACGTATTGATGTTTACTTTGCGCAAAAGTGATCTATTCGTTGATTCCAGTTCTTTGTGATGGTGCTTTTTGTAATTAATGATTTTCAGAAGTTGTTGACAGTCAAAGCAATTTATTTTCTACATGATGTTGTATTTCGTTTCATTTACTTTTGTGTTATATAGTTGCTTTAACATAAGAATGAAAGTTTTTCAGTACTGTTAATATAGTTTGACAAATTCTTGTCTTGAAAACAATGCATAATGATGAATGTTTAGCAGTCAAACTTCATAACTCATAAATTAGGAAAACCATAATAAGTATTTGCCTGAATTACCTATAATCCACATGTATTTATTTTTTGTTCAAAGTGTTTATTGAGCTTAAAAATGCATGTGTTATCTCTAATCTTAAAATTCAATGTTTCAATCCACTATGCAACATCATTACCTTCAAAATTACAGGTACACTTTGCTGATAGGAGCCAATCACCAGTGAGAGTTTTAAGTGTCCTACTCCCAGCCATTTAATATGTTACATACAATAGAGATTTATTGGAACTAAATTATAACAAATAATAAATATTGTACAAAAAAAATTTTCCTCGTAATTTAGAAATACTATTAATCAATTTGACTACTTACTAGGTGAATTGTCTGGATAACAAGGTGAATCGTTGGCAGGTAATTGTGGTAAAGTTGTCGGCTTTTTACGATGACCACAAATAACATGGTAGGACACTAAACTTATGACGACTGTAAGTTTAAAAAAATATGAGATTTTTGAATTCATTGAACTATGAACAAATGATACAATGGTATTGCATTAGTTTAACAAATATAAAATAATATCCTTCATGAAACAGATTACACACAAAGTTTGTATATATCGAATACTACTAATTCAATGTTTTGTTTTATTAAGGGATTTTCATTACGCTAGTAGTATGTAAATATACTGTTCAGCTGGAACTGTTTTATTAATATAAGGCGTTTCTGGATGTTGTAGAATGTTCCTTATTGAAATCACCAAATGATCTTAGGTAAATCACCATCCAATACCTGGAAGCATTGAATTCAACTATGAAACTCCTTACCGGTCCGCATCCACAACTCCTTGACTCAGACTTTTCACTTCGAGTCTATTAAAGCGCTATCCAATGTTGTTTACAACCAACTTCAACCGATTCGCAATATTATTCAACCTGAACGTATCGCTTGAATTGGATAATTGTCTCACGCTTCTCACTGGAATTTCAAGAGCCAGTCACTAGTGAGTCCGTAATTACTACAAATACAAGGTTGTGTAGACTGTGCAATTTTAATCATGAATTGATGTTAATCTTTTCTGATGTTTGTGTCATAACTAAGGTAAATCATATTCGGGATTTTGATTTCATTAGAAATCATTTTGTTGATGAATTTAAATTATTCATTGATGATATCTCTCTTACACCTGATGTGACTGACTTCTAATGTTTGAAAACTTTTCCCCGGAAAATTTAAAAATAACATATGACAGTTAGTTTTGTGTTCTATGTTATCTTTCAAACTTCATTTACAAAGACATTGTAAATAAGAGGCTTGTTCTAAAATTGGTGTACACTATTTACATTATCCATTATGGGCTAATGAACAGTAAAGTATTTTTCATAAAAATGTTTTCTTCTTGACCTGAATTCACCCGAACGGAAGTTATTAATCTGTTTGTTTCAGCGTGATATTAATTTGAGATTGAATCAGTTCAGATTTGGTTAATACCACTGTTATGAAAGTTCTTATTTCAGTTTCATTAGGCAAAGTGACTTGTTTACAATTTTAAAACTTTTATTTAATTTTAAAATAGATGAGAACAAGCTCGGTGAATTACTGATTAGAATGTGATATTCAACTATTCACAGATTATTTTCTTAATCTTTGTATCACCTTTAGTCTATATATGATAATTTTTTTTTTGAATTATAAGTGATTTGCATGAAAAGGTTATGTAGGTTGTTGAGTTACTTTTTGAAATCATGAATCGATCAATGTTAAAACATCATTAATGACATCCTTTACTGATCGATTAGCTGACAGATATGAGTCCGTCATCATTTATGATGAAAAAGTCAATGTTTCTAACAGAGAATAGCTTTGAAAAAGCTTGTCACAAGTTGCATTGAGCAGGATATTTTACAAGACATATATTGTACTCATAAACTAATTAATTAAAGCAAATTAGGACACTGCTGTTGAATAAAATATAATCAATATTCAAAATACAGCCAAAATTCATTCCTCAGTTCCTAAACAGAAAATATACATATATTTACATATAAGTAAATATATATATATATATATATATATATATATATATATATATATATATATATATATATATATATATATGAGAAAAAATGATTTGGTTTACCGATTAGATCGATAAATTTCACTAATTGCTGCACTCCAAATTAACGAATCTCTTGGACTTTTTTGAGCTAATAGTGATGTTGAACTATAATAACCAACAATCTAAAATATCTTTTGACATGGACAATAAAACGTTACCAGATTATTCATACAACAGCTAACATTTGCTGAAAACTGTCTGGTTAAATTATACACAGTGTAAAAAAACTATTCACTAACTGTGTGTGTGTGTAGATAAGGTGAGGTGAATAGGATTGAAATTTTTTTATTCTCATGTCACTCACTTATTATCCGTATGATTTTTTAAGCAAGGCATTATTGACTGAGAATGAATAAGTTGTGAAAAACTTTCTGATAATCGAAAATCGTACAACTTCTTATATCCAACGACATACACATATCTATCTATATCAATGGTATTTATGTATGAATTAGTTAACTGTTTTCATGTTCATATCACATTTTTTCAAGAAGTTCAACTGTTTTTTTTTTTTGTTGGCTAATTTTTAAGCGAAAATCATCGAAAAACCATCCAACTAGTTGACATCATTGTATATTTTAATTTATTTTGACAGTATTTTTAGTGGACAAGATGATTAACAGTTAAAGTGACATTTATCGTTTAATTATAAGAAGTAAATTATCATATTAAAATGTATATATGAATACTGATTCATTTGAAGTTTTATGTTTTGTAATGTCAAATATTTTAACAAATTGACTTATGTTTAAGTATTTTCCATGTGAACAAATATAAATTAGTAAACAGTTTGATGAATAGAAAAACGTTCAATAGCCTGACTTCAATTTGGATAAATATTTAAATATGTTAAGAAAATAAATCATTCATCTCAGCAAAAAGGGAAAAGTTAGATTCTCCGATGCAACACTACGTGCACTAACCAAACCACCTATAATAGAGATGCCTTGAAGGATGTAAACACCTTTACGTAATATCTGGACAGCATGATTGACGAGCAAGTTGGATCTGATGCAGGTGTAAAGGTGTGGATTGGCAAAACAAGGGCTGTATTTCTACCAACCAACACCAAAGTCATAAGTTTTAATATAAATGTCAAAACTGTTCTATTGTTTGGAGTGGAAAGTTGGACAAACACGAAAGACATCATCCGCAAGTGTTTAGTAGCAATTTTCTAAGCAAGATACCCTTCTTCTGTCAGCCAGATACCATCAGTAAAGACCTACTGTGTGCGGGAGCAAAGTAAATTCCAATTGAGGTAGAAATGAGGATGAAGTACTGGAGGTGGATAGAACACACACAATGAGAATAGCACCTAAATGCATCACGAGGCAAGCCCTCATTTGGAATCCTCAAGGTCAAAAAACAGGAACACTAAAAAGCACATTACTCTGAGAGATGGAAACAAACATGAGAAGAATGAACATTAAATAGGTAGAATTGGAAAAGAAGTCCTAGGACAGAGTAAGTTGAAAGAGGTCTATGCTTCACTAGGGTTAACAGGCGAAAACAAATATTGGCAGTAATTTGAAGTTCAATACAGTTTTCTCTGGATTAATTTATTTCATACATTTGAGTAAGCAAACAGACAACCGGATACCGAGCATAAATGCGAAGTGAAGTGGAGGCAAGAGTGGCAACTCCATGCGATGTGGCATAACTAGACATATGACAAGTGAAGCAAGTTAATTTACTTATGTACTCCAGTGATAAAAGCAGGATTTTAAGTGAATAATTGACAAGACTGAAAGACGTGTAAATGATAAACCAGAGAAGAATGGATTAATTAATATGTCCAAAGTCTGGGACAAGCCATATGGACACAACATATTGATACATATTACAAACTTCATTTCTATAACACAAAAATGGCAACATATGGATAGATATTGAATATCGTAAATCATTGAACAAATACATTGCTTTAGTTTGAGACAGCTCAACATTATTCATCCCATTAATTTCTAATTTTCAATCATAACAATACATATTTTCCATTGTTAAGCAAAGTTATTAACAAACAATTTTAGTTCTTTAACAAACATCATAAATTTATTCATTCAATAGATTGTTAAGATATGTTTACTGATAACAATGAAATTTTCATGTCTTCAAATCAATTTTACTAGGATCATGAGAAATTTCACAATCCTTGATATTTATTATTAGGAGGCATGAATTCAAAAGGCAGACATTTTCTATCTTTTGTTTAAAAGCATTGATCAATATTAAATTAGCTTATGGCTAGATGTTACTGCTGAGTATTATTATTGCAAATTCATTTTTAAGGAAAAACTTCGATGATACTTACCACTGTCTACAGTTTGTCAGTGATTTTGATAAAAATTTATGTAAAATATTAGGACAAAAAGTCATTGTCTTACTATGTTAAATATTCAGAATCATTCACTTTGTTTCTAAACATAGATTGCTTACTAATTATAAAAACAAAACTCTTTTAGTGGACTGCGTTGAATTTGAAGTAGTGGCCAGTGATTTGATTCTTTATTAAGTGGACGGTCGAGTATTCTATGAAATAAATCTTTTCAATTTCTATAATATCATACTTAGGCGAATGCAGTTTGTGCGACGGATATTTAACAAAAAATTTAACTCGAGATAAATAGATTGATTAAATTGTCCAAAGACTGAAACAAGCGCTGTGGACCCGACATAGAAGTACACATACTACACTCTAAATTTAATGTACTGATGTAATGAACTTCTACAATACATTTGACCTAGACTAAATTCACCTCACTAGGACGAAATGGAAGTCCAGTGTTTCCAAGTTTACGATGTCAGTCTGACATTAATGCAATCATGATTTCAATGAAACGTAGCAATATCCACAACCCTATGAAGACAATTATCATGCGTGCACTTGTGACTAGCTATGTGGAAAAATTCTCGGAGTTCTAACAAGGAACCGTGATCAATGGAGTTCCTTTGAGTCGGATATGAGGTGGTTACTCAGAGAAGACAACGAGCGAGGTTGTGCAATAATGTGAGTTGTTTGAAGTTAGACATTAAAACATTGTTGGATGCCGGCTCATTGATCTAAAAGTTAGTCATTCACGCAAGAGACCAAACAGCCTTGGTTCAATTCTCGCTTGCGAGTTGTGGATATTCATTGGTGATAAGTCCTATTTCAGGATGAAACAGCTGTCCTGCGCTTTCAGCTTTCTAATGGTTGTCAAACTTTGATCGGCTGTCAATTTCAATGAAAGTTTGTGGTTAGTTTAAAAAAAAAACATTTGTCATACATAAGTTTGTAAAATTATTATTCTTTCTTTATATTCCAAAATATATTCAGCATTACAGAACTGAAAAAATGAGCTTAACTCATCATGGGGCACGATCAGGTCCCGAACACAGATAAATGAGGAGGGTTGGGTATATACAATCAGCGACCATATTTCGTAGAAAACGAATTCGTTTCAAAAAACCCAAACGCTAACATTGAGCTTAATTCATATCATGAAACTCTTAATAATTTATACGAAATACTATGAACAGAAATAGTAGTAATAATAATTGTTAAACTCACATAAAAGAAACACAACCAATGCACATCCGAATGCAATCAGCGGTGTTGCTATTTCCGCGGCCATCTTTTTTTGATTATTTAATGATTATAAGGTTTTCTGTCAGACGAATAGTAAGTAAGTAAGTATACTGATGTTATCCAAATTAATAATTTTAATTATTTTTTTTTTAATAAACAAAATAGTTAATTGTGTCTCATTGAAAATAATGTTCCGTTTCACTGGAGCGTTTTTATGCAATGTAAAGATCCTAGACAATCAATCTTTGGCAAATTGTTCAATGATCAACAGTCTTTTTATCAAAAATTGAAAAATATATATTATTTATTTATTCAGTAATAAATTATATATATCTCACAAATGTTCATTCACTATTGTCGAAAATTGCTGGCAATTATTTATTTAATTTATTTATTTACATGATAAGTAATATGGTTGAGATGAGCGCAAAGAAATCAAGTGAACAGTAGTAATACTCTGTGTTTTAAGTAATCACTATTATTAATGTTACATAAAGATAATGATGATGATGTTGATGATGATGATGATGATGATGATATAAAGTAATATTCAATACAGAATACATCTTCACAATGAATTGATTGGTGAATGAATAGGTAAGTAGCACACATTATTGTAGTTTAAGTGTATTTTTTGAAAGTGAGCATTTTTGTGTAACAAATGAAAACATACACATCAACTATGGTAAGAAAGATTGTTGTGTTTTGAAATTTTCACAAAGTGTAGGATATGTTCACCATCATCATTATGGAAAACAATTTGACTAATAAAATATTATATACATTTATGTCTATATATGTATATATTTATATATACATGTATATTATACTACTGAAAACAATGCTAAACAAAACGGGTCTGTGTTTGTATGAATGAATAGACTAACTAACTAACTAACTCACTAACTAACATTATTATGGTTTCTTTTATCAAAGCCAATGCTGAATCTATTAAGTTATTGTTTAATATCTATCAATACTAAAATGAATATTCATTATTCTATTCAAATTACTATTACTGACTAGTTACTTATTAAATGTATTATGTATGAGAATATCGTCTTAGAGCTAATCGATATTTGTGAAAGTTATGTAACAAAATAGAAATGGGATGTTTACTTGTGTAGAGTTGCAACTGAATGCGGTAAATGGTAGAAGCATGGAAATGTGCATATTCTTCAAAATCTTAGATATCACCCTTGGTAAAATTGTCTATAACAGATAAATTATCATTGATATCCGATATTCAGGCATTAGGTTTATCTTTTTTTTGCTTGTTCATTAGTGACTGAGTTGATTTCGAAGTAGGGCTCACTACTTTAGTGGCTCGCGATTGGACTCCATTTTGGACAAATGTTGAAATGTGCTATGAAATAAATCTCCGCTTCAATTTCAGTGCACATCATACTTGGGCGGACCCTGTTTGTGCGACGGCAGTGATAAGAAACCAAATACTGTTTCATTTGGATGCATTCGTTTCAGGCAATCGTTCGTGTGGATAGATATGAGAATGAAAAGTGTACATGCGAATCGGAGAGCACAGGAGGAGGCGAGCGAGCTAACTCCATTCGATGAGGCATGGCCAAGTATTGAAAGTCAGGTAATATTATAGCAGACATGCAATCAGTGGTATAGGCGTGTACGCACACTTGAATAAAAACAACCAAGGATATCAGAGAATAATAGACAGGGATGAAAGAAAAGTGAGTAATGACGCTGGCGGAAAAGGGTAATTACATTGTCCGAAAGCTGGGACAAGCCCTGTAGGCTCAGCACATACTGCAAACATTTGGCTGGTGGATTTCGTTTTCGTTACATCATTTACTAATTTGATAGAAAACTGGAATAAACTTATTGTATTTCAAAAATATAGATTCTGTTTGTATCAGGAAGGTGTCTAATACTTTACTGAAAACGTTTTATTGGATGCCGCCTCAATGACCTAGAGTTCAGGAGTTTGTGCTCTAGACCGAAGGTTATGGGTTCGATTTCTAGTTGCAGAGTCGTAGACTCGCACTGCTAAGTAGTCCTATAATAAGGTGAAACGGCCAGTAACTATCTCACATCTGAAATGAATTGAACACCACTGGCCGCGACTTATCACGGAATCCCCAGTAACTGCATCATGGGTGAGCACTGCTGGGGAGTCTCGTACTATAAAAATATACTATACTACTACTACTATAGTACTATTATATATATATATATACATATATATATATATATATATATATATATATATACTGAACTTGCATATCTTAGGCTCAGGTTTATTGATCCATCCTGTGAATGTACTGGGACTTGATAAACAACTGTAGCGATACATGAGTATATGCAATGTCTGACAGGAATGATGACTGACTGACAGACTAACATGGGATAGGACACAATGTATACATATATATATATATATATACATCTTGTTAACAGTAGAATAGAATATATTGTAAGTTCATTTAAAGAAATTTTAAAACATTTCTGTCGATCAGTAGTGTAATCTCGCTTATTCAATAAATTTTCAGGCTATTTTAAAAATCTCAAATCATCATTTGTTCTGTTTATAATAATGGTTAAATCACTCACTCTGCAATTAACACAATATTCTAATCAAAACATGAAACGATTAGTTTACACTAGCAAATTATCATTATTATTATTATTATTAGTAATAGTAGTAGTAGTAGTAGTAGTAGTGTGGTGCGCGCTACTTATAAGTAGTATATGACGTGAGTGTAAACGTAATGTCTGGCAGCAGAAGATGAGGGAAGATCAAGAAAGGAAGAGTGGGAACACAATGGAATTTGTATGAAACGCATGAATAAGTGAAATGTCAGACAATGGATTGATGACTGAAGATTTGCAAACTAACCGTTTACGATATGGTTTTCCTATTTTACTGAGTAACTCTGTAATTTTCGATAAATACAAATCGGTTGCCCTCACCCGTGTTCTCCTTCACTACACAGTAGTAGTAGTAGTAGTAGTAGTAGTAGTAGTAGTAGTAGTAGTAGTAGTAGTAGTAGTAGTAGTAGTAGTAGTAGTAGTAGTAGTAGTAGTAGTAGTAGTAGTAGTAGTAGTAGTAGTAGTAGTAGTAGTAGTAGTAGTAGTTAGTAGTAGTAGTAGTAGTAGTAGTAGTAGTAGTAGTAGTAGTAGTAGTAGTAGTAGTAGTAGTAGTAGTAGTAGTAGTAGTAGTAGTTAGTAGTAGTAGTAGTAGTAGTAGTAGTAGTAGTAGTAGTAGTAGTAGTAGTAGTAGTAGTAGTAGTAGTAGTAGTTAGTAGTAGTAGTAGTAGTAGTAGTAGTAGTAGTAGTAGTAGTAGTAGTAGTAGTAGTAGTAGTAGTAGTAGTAGTAGTAGTAGTAGTAGTAGTAGTAGTAGTAGTAGTAGTAGTAGTAGTAGTAGTTAGTAGTAGTAGTAGTAGTAGTAGTAGTAGTAGTAGTAGTAGTAGTAGTAGTAGTAGTAGTAGTAGTAGTAGTAGTAGTAGTATTGAACAAGTGGTGGAGGTAATACATTGGAATTTGAATAATAATTCAAATGTACATCCACTTCTGTTCAATTGATCGATCTGTTTTCAATCTAGGTTTTTATCTTATATAGTAGTATATATTTATCTACATTAATAAAGCTTGCTTACATTGTTCCAAATGAATTACACATAGAGAATACACTTGATGCATTAAAAAAATGTCTGTACACAAAAAGAAAGTACATGGTAGTTCAATTATATTATATTATATTATATTATAATATCAACTAGTGAGACAATAAAAGACAATAAAAAAATAAACTGTAATCGAAGAAATGTTTGTATTCCTAATGTTCATCTTAAATTTTAAAAAAAGAACACGTTTATTGTTGTTGCACCTAAAATAATGTACACAATAAATTACAAAATCGATTTATATTTTATTTTGGTGTATAAAGAAAAGCAGGTATATAAAATAGAACCATGCGATCTGGTTAAATGAACAATGTTGCGATTTGTGCTTACTTACTTTACTTACTTACGCCTGTTACCCCCCAATGGAACATAAGCCGCCGACCAGTTTTCTCCAACCAACTCTGTCCTGGGCTTCCCTCTCCAATTCTGTCCAATGTTTGTTCATTCTTCTCATGTCTTTCTGTATTTCTCGGCGTAATGTGTTCATTGGCATTCCTTTTTTTCTTTGACCTTGAGGGTTCCACGTGAGGGCTAGTCTTGTGCTTTTCGTAATGTGTGTCCTATCCACTTCCACTGCTTCTTCCCGATTTCCTCCTCAACTAGAATCTGGTTTGTTCTCTCCCACAGTAAGTTGTTGCTGATGGTGTCTGGCCAACGGATCCGAGTTATTTCGCGTAGATAACTGTTCATAAACACTTGTATCTTCTGGATGATGGGTTTCATAGTTCTCCAAGTTTCCGCTCCATACAGTGAGACTGCATTGACATTTGTATTGAAAGTCCTGATTTCGGTGTTGATTGACATCTTTTAGGAGTTCCAGATATTTTTCGATTGTAAAAATGCAGCCTTGCTTTGCCGATTCGCGCCCTCACATCTGCATGAGATCCACCTTGGTTGTTGATGATACTGCCCAGATATGTAAAGGTGTCAACGTCCTCGAAAGAATCTCCATCAAGCGTGATTTGATTGACGCATGTTGTGTTCTATCGTAGAATCTTACTTTGCGATTTGTAATATATATTTCTTTTTCATTAAGCAGCACACGGATTGAATGAAGAACTGGTAGATTGTATAATAAAACGACAGATTGACAAATATGTAAACATTAAGCTATTGTGTAGATTGTTAAGTTACACATTTGAAATCGTGAATCGATCAGTGTTAGACCACCATTGGAAACCTGAAAGCACTACACGGCAGTTTCTTCGTGGTCTGGAACTCATCAACACTGCTCATCCACTATTCGTGCACCTCGTAGGTTCGAACACAGGAGCTTCGGTCTAGCACATAAAAGCCTAAATTCTGAACCACTGGGCCGGTGTTTAACAATGTTAATGTCTAATTTCGATCGATTCATGGAGTTGCGCAACCTCATACAAAGTCTTCGGT